CTGATGGAGAGCTTCAGCCAGAGATTGGGAGGTGGGAGGCAGGGCACGAGGGGATGTAGCTCCCCTTGATTTCCTTTTGTAAAATGGGAATGATACCACTTCATGCACTTGCTATGTGTGTGCGTTCATTATGGCTCTCACACTGAGTGTGGGAGAAGGGGTACAGGATGGTGCTGCTGAATATACATGGCACATACATCATCTTCCTGGAATTTTACTTGAGGGTTTGGAGGTGGTGAGTTTTATAATAAAACTTGGATTTATTATGCAGCAGAATGCAAACCTGGTGTGTATTTAAAGATTTTAAAAGGAGTTTTGAAAGTGATGTCATGTTTCTAGTGGGCTGCTTCTGGCTACACCCCCAGATCCCTGGGGATTGGGCACGTGATCACACCCTAGTGTACCATGTAAGGGCTTCAGTGAGAAAGTGGGAGCAATGCTGCCTGATGAAAGATGAGAAAGAGCCTGACATGCAATAGGCAGGCAGTATTTGATGGTTCATGTTATGGCAGCAGCTATGTCCTCCCAGGGGAAACAGGCCCACGCAGATGGCAGTACTTGGTTGGGTTCGCTCAGCTGGAAGGTGATACAGTCAGGACTGGAACCAACTACTGACTCCCCACCCAGTGTTCTGTCATAACCTCCATCTCCTCCTGGTGGGAAAGGGCTTTGTGGTCAGCAGTCCTCCTCCACTTAAGCCACCTCCTCAGTTGTCCCTCTCCCTCTTAGAACTCCCTCTTGTCAAGGAGGTGTATTCCTGTGGGGGCACACACGTATAACTGTGCTAAAAGGCAAGCATCTCTAGGGGAAGGCAGCAGACACAGTTGACATGAGCCAAACTGAGCACTTCATTTAAAAATTTTTTAAATTATTTAATTATTTATTTTTGAGACAGAATCTCTGTCACCTAGGCTGGAGTGCAGTGGTGCAATCTCGGCTCACTATAACCTCTTTCTCCCACGTTCAAGCAATTCTCATGCTTCAGCCTCCCAAGTAGCTGGGACTACAGGCACATGCCCCTACACCTGGCTTATTTTTTGTATTTTTAGTAGAGACAGGGTTTCACCATATTGACCAGGCTGGTCTCGAACACCTGACCTCATGATCTGCCTGCCTCAGCCTCCCAAAGTGCTGGAATTACAGGTGTGAGCCACCGTACCTGACCACCAACCTGTGCATTTCAGAGAGGACACAGGGCTGCTGAGTTGTGGGTGGGAAGAGGAGAGGTCCAGAGGATGGGATGCTTTCAGGATTAGCTGAAGGCCAGAAAAGATAAGGGACACACCAAAAGAAACCCTTCATCTCCTTCCCAGTTTTGTCTAAGTTGACAGGCCCTCAGGTTTGTACCTTATTTTCAAGGGTTAGGTTTCTGGGCCCAGATCAAAACCAAGGGTGCCCTGAGCCTTGCCAGCTAATGAATGCATGGAATCCAGGGATAGCAAGAGAAGCTTGGAGAGCCCCAGCCTGTTCTTTCTGCAGGACCTGCCAGGCTGGCCTCCCTGCCCTGGGCCTATGTAAAGGGTTGTTTCTGTGTATGTCCGTCTCCCTAAATGAGAGGAACCAAGGTCTTGAGTGAATGAATCAGTGATTGAGATTTGTTCATCTTCTGCCTCATAACCATGGAAAGGGATTGGTGAGCTGGGTGCCTATCATCCTGAACCCTCGTTGACTACTCATAGCAACCCAGTAAGGATAGTTATTTCCTCATTTTATAGATCCTTTTCTTATAGGTGCACAGAGGCTTGTTTCTTGGGCCCTGGAATCTTTTGAGGCATTGGTAGAAATAAAAATTTTGGGGGCTGGGCACAGGGGCTTATGCCTGTAATCCCAACACTTTGGGAGGCCAAGGCGGATGGATCACCTGAGGTCAGGAGTTCGAGACCAGCCTGACCAATATGGTGAAATCCTGCCTCTACTAAAAATACAAAAAGAAAAAAAAAATTAGCTGGGCGTGGTGGTGTGTGCCTGTAGTCTCAGCTACTGTGGAGGCTGAAACAAGAGAATCCTTTGAACCTGAGAGGTGGAGGTTGCAGTGAGGTGGGATTGGGCCACTGCACTCCAGCCTAGGTGACAGAGCAAGACTATTACTGAAAAAAAAAATTGCCCCCACTCTAGACCTACTTAAAATGTCCCTGTAGTAGGCCTGAATCTGCATTTTTTTTTTTTTTTTTTGAGACAGTATCTTTCACCCAGGCTGGAATGCAGTGGCAAGAGCTCGGCTCACTGCAACCTCTGCCTCGAGGGTCAAGCCATTCTCCTGCCTCAGACTCCCAAGTAGCTGGGATTACAGGTGCCTGCCGCCATGCCCCGATAACTTTTGTATTTTTAGTAGAGACAGAGTTTCACCATCTTTGCCAGGCTGGTCCTGAACTCCTGACCTTGTGATCCACCTGCCTTAGCCTCCCAAAGTGGTGGGATTACAGGCGTGAGCTACCACTTCTGGCTAACCTGCAATTTTTAACAAGGGTGACCATCTGGTAATTTCGATGCTCACAGCAGTTCAAAATCCTCGACGGAGCATTTCCGTAACCTGCCAACTCGTTCTTCAGTGGCAAAGCTGGAGCGCAACCGGGGTCTTCGGATGCTAGTTTAGGGCTCTTGACAGCTCATTGGAGACGCTGGAATCACCTTCACTGCACTGTATCAGCCTGCCACACAGGGGCACAATAAACCTTACCAGAGTGAATGAATGAATGACACATCCAGCCCCAGGTGCTTCCGGTGGATCGGGGGCGTGGCGAGACCCTGCTTCAGAGGAGGGAGGGCTTATGCATTGCCGAGAGCAGAGGCCGATTTGCAGACCTTGACCCTGTCTATTTTAGAAAAGCCACTGGCAGAAGATCCGGACCATGGTCAATCTGCCGGTCATAAGCCCTTTCAAGAAGCGCTACGCCTGGGTGCAGCTGGCGGGGCACACAGGTGAGCCGCGAGGCGGGTGGGCAGGTGCCCGCGACGGGAAAGGGCCGGGCGGCGCTGACGGATGCCGGTTCGCAGGTAGTTTTAAGGCAGCGGGCACCAGCGGGCTGATCCTGAAGCGCTGCTCGGAGCCGGAGCGCTACTGCCTGGGGCGGCTGATGGCGGACGCGCTGCGCGGCTGCGTGCCTGCCTTCCACGGCGTGGTGGAGCGCGATGGCGAAAGCTACCTGCAGCTGCAGGACCTGCTAGATGGCTTCGACGGGCCCTGCGTGCTCGACTGCAAAATGGGCATCAGGTACTCGTGACCTGTCAGGTCGTTTGGGGATCAAGTGGGGGGCCGGGCCGGAACAACTGCTCGAGGGGGGCCCGGTGCGAGTGCTCGTAGGGGTCCCCGTGTGTGCGCTCTCTTACGTCCTGGCCGCTGCCTGCGCCACCACAGAACTTACCTAGAGGAGGAGCTGACCAAGGCCCGCGAGCGGCCCAAGCTACGGAAGGACATGTACAAGAAGATGCTGGCGGTGGACCCTGAGGCGCCCACTGAGGAGGAGCACGCGCAGCGCGCCGTCACCAAGCCACGCTACATGCAGTGGCGGGAAGGCATTAGCTCCAGCACCACGCTCGGCTTCCGCATCGAGGGCATCAAGGTGGGGCAGGCCTGCTTCGCCTGGCACCGCTCCAGCACCCCTCCCCCACGCGCGCTGTCCATCCCGATCTGTTGGCTTCCACCTTCGGGGCGCCCGCTCCACCTGCTCCTCCGCCCTCTCTGTCTCGCTGTCCCCTGCATCTGGGAGGTACCGTTGCCCTAGGCCGTCTCCTTCCCCACTGGCGGGCCCGGGCCCCTGACACTCCTGTCCCACCTCCAGAAAGCCGATGGGTCCTGCAGCACCGACTTCAAGACTACAAGAAGCCGGGAGCAGGTGCTTCGCGTCTTTGAAGACTTTGTGCAAGGAGACGCGGAAGTGCTGGTGAGAGTGGAATCCCAAACCCTGAGGTGTTGGGGAGCCTGAAACCCAGAACTCCCCGTCGTCCGGCCCAGTGCCCTCAGCTGTGTCCCCACTGACCACGCTGGGTCGCACCTGCTCTAGCTCCTTCCCTTCTGAGCCTACCCGGGCGGCTTCCTGGGTCTTCCCCACAGCTGCATTTGCCGAGCCTATCTCGGCCGCGGCTCCTCCTCGTCAGCAGGGGCTCATTTAGCGTTTAATTAATTTGCCCTCCTTTCCCACCCACCCTCTGCAGAGGCGGTATCTGAACCGCCTGCAGCAGATTCGGGACACCCTGGAGGTCTCTGAGTTCTTCAGGAGGCACGAGGTAAGCGGCGGCGGCGGCAGCCCGGGTGCCCGCCGCGAGGGCTAGGGCGGGAACGCGGCGGGGGCGTCTCTGTGCAGGGCCGCGGCCTGACGGTGGTGCGGGGCTCACAGGTGATCGGCAGCTCGCTCCTCTTCGTGCACGATCACTGCCATCGCGCTGGAGTGTGGCTCATCGACTTCGGCAAGACGACCCCCCTCCCGGATGGCCAGATCCTGGACCACAGGCGGCCCTGGGAGGAGGGCAACCGCGAGGACGGCTATTTGCTGGGGCTGGACAATCTCATTGCCATCCTGGCCAGCCTGGCTGAGAGATGAGGCTGGACTCCTGTCCCCACGGGCCGCCGCCCTGACATGTGGACCTGCGGCTTTGTTCCCACTGTGCATGCCGCTTGAGACTGGGACCCTGGTGCAGGGCAGTTCACCGGGTCCTGCAGGGCCAAATGCCAGTCACTAAGAGGGGGTCACTGCCAATGCCAGGGGTTGCACCCACCCGGGCCCCAGTGTTCCCAGAGCCGAATGACACTAATTTACAGAGCAAAGGGCTTCTTCCTCAGGCCAGCTCTTCTGAGGAGGCTCTGCCCTCTCCAGAGGGGCCAGACCGGGGATTTATTTAGCAAGCCTAGACCTCCTGGTCTAACCTCTCACACTACAATGGACTCCCCTTCCTAATAAAACTCAAAGGCAAGATGCAGCTTCCTGTGCCTCAGGCCTCACCCCTCCCTCCTCTGGTCCCCTCTTCCTCAGATCTGGTATCCCTGGCATCCACTCAGATCACTGGAGGATAAGAGCTTTTTATTAGAAGCAACTGCAGGGTAGGGGACTGCCCAGATAAAGGATGCTCATAGTGGGAGGGCAATCCAGCACTCCTCATGGACACTTGGGGTGTGCATAAGTTGGCCTCTGGCCCCAGAGGTAAAAAGCTGGAAGTGGCTGGCCCTTCCCTGGGAAGCCTGGGACTGGTTTCCAGCATAGCAAGTGCAGTGCTGCCAGGCCAGTCCCAAGACAGGCCTAGAGAAGCAGCACAGACTGCAGGGACAAGGGCTGCTAGCATAACAGGCCACCCAGGAGCCTGAGGAGTACCGGGAGGAACCCTCAATGCTTCAGTCCTCACCCTCAGGGCCCCTTGGGGCTCAGGAGCGGTAAGTGGGATTCCAAAGGTTCTGAGGTTGGAGGCCCCTGGATTTGAGGGGCTTGAAGCCAGAGGACTGCCAGGGGCCAAGAGAGCTACCTCCCCAGCTTTTCAACTTCTTTGGACTCAGTTCCTGGGGCTGTGGGAGTCTTAGGCACTCCAAAGACCTGTTTCCCAGCCCAGAAGCCCCTTCCTCCTCTGGGGTGGGTCCCAGCTCCATCGGCAGGGGTGAATTGAGCACATCCGGGTCCTATAATGGAAGAGTCAGGGAGTAGCGGGGTATAGAGAGTTTTCTGTCCCCCATCCTCCTGAATCCCAAGACCAGGATGATCAGGTTAGGTTGGGGGCATACCTGAGTGCAGTACTGAAGACGCTCCAAAATGCTGGCAAAGCTGGGGCGGAGCTCAGGCAGGTGCTGCCAACACTGGGTCATGATGCGGTACCTGGGGGGAAGCAGGAGTTGGTGCCACCCATGGTTGTGAAGGCCTCCCTTACCGGGCAGCACTCAACTCACACGGGCCCTGGGCAGCCCCTAGGAGGGTCCATCCGGCCCCCTGCAACGATGAAGTCTAGCACCTCCTGGTTGGTCCGCCCAGGATAGGGCATGTAGCCCAGTGAGAAGATCTCCCAGAGCAGCACTCCAAAAGACCTGCATCACAAGTGGGGGAACCAAGTGAGTCCTGTCAAGTGCAGCCTCCCCTCACTTGAGGTGGCTGGAAAGGACTGGATTAGCCTCGGGGAGGAGAAGGGGAGAGGAAAAGGGGAGAAGAGAAGGAGGGGAAGAGGAGGAGAAGGGAGGCAGGGGAAAGGAAGAGAAGGCAAAGGGTTTTATCAACCAGGAATCTGTTTTGGATGTGAAGACGCCCTCCAGGAAGGCCTCTGGGGGCATCCACTTGACTGGGAGCAAGGCCCGGTCTCCCCTGCGGTAATAACTGGCCCTACAGGAGGAATAAGGGGAGTGAGGAGTTGTTTACCACCAGGGTGCAGGCAAAACCCCTTGGAGCAAGAGCCTTCCCACCTTCCCAAGTCCCGCACCGGTAGATATCTCGTGCCATCCCGAAGTCCCCAATCTTGGCCACTCGGCTGGGCCCAGAGCAGCTCAGCAGGCAGTTCCGGGCAGCAATATCCCTACAGAGGAGGCAAAAAAAAAAATCACTGCCAGAATTCAGTTCTTGCCCTTCCTGATCTATTTCCTTAAAAGCTGAGTGGAGGTGGGGTGTGGTGGCTCATGCCCGTAATCCCAGCACTTTGGGAGGCTGAATTAGGCAGATAATGAGGTCAAGAGATCAAGACCATCCTGGCAAATGGTGAAACCCCATCTCTACTAAAAATACAAAAATTAGCCGGGTGTGGTGGCACAAGCCTGTGGTCCCAGCTACTCGGGATACTCGGGAGGCTGAGGTGGAAGAATCGCTTCAACCCGGGAGGTGGAGGTTGTAGTGAGCCGAGATTGCGCCACTGCACTCCAGCCTGGTGACAGAGCAAGACTCCGTCTCAAAAAAAAAAAAAAAAAAAAAAAGCTGCGTGGAAGAGCTGTTCCTTGAGGAGGGACTTGGGATGGGGTCCCCGAGCCAGGACTCCTCCTAACCTGTGGATGAAGTGATTTTCCTCCAGGTAGTGGCAGCCCTGAGCTATGTCCTGGGCCAGTTGCAGCAGGTCCCGCATGACCAGTGGTGATGGCTGGCCCTGGGGCAGGCAGAGCGGGCATCAGTCCATGTAGGTCTCAGACATCCACGGGGTGTTTAGAGGGGCCTAGGGGGCTGAGAAAGGGTCTCACCAGGTGCGGCCGACTCTGCCTCAGGAAACTCTTCATGTCCCCTCCAGACATCAGTTCCAGCAGAATGAGGTGAGGGGCGGCCCTGAGGCTGAGCCCCACACACCGCACGATGTTCTGATGGCTAAACTTGCTGAGTGGGGTGGTGGCGACACCCCATCACCAGCCATCACCAGCAGGGAGATGAAAACCATGTTCTAGCTGCCACAAAGCTGGAGAGGCCCTCTGTGTCCCCTGCCTTGCTACCTCAGCCTCAGGGTGGGGAAGAGGCTATTTCCTGGGCCTTCCCCTCCAGACCCCTCTTCCAGCCCTGCCCAGGCCCCAGGTGCACCTGATGATTAGTGCTTCCATGAGGAAATCCAGCTCATCCTGAGGAGAGCAGAGTTCTGGCAGGGTCTGGGGAGGAAAAGGAAGTTTCTGGGCTGCCCTGGACATTTCAGGAGGGTTAACCCTAGCTCTAGTCACTGTCCTTCCCTTCAGGGTGCCCAGCTCTCCTACCCCCAGCCAGAAGTACCACTCCTCTCACCTTGATAGCCACCTGCAGGGGACTAGAGTCCCCAGGAAGGCCAGTTAGCAGTCCCTCATACACCTCCCCAAAGGCACCATGGCCCAGGGCTCTGCAGGAAGACAGGTTGGCAGGGAGTGGGTGGGTGGGCAGCCTGGAGAAGAGTCCCAGAGAGTCTAATACCTCCTCTGCCTCCCCTGCCCCTGCCATATGCAGCTGACTCTCCATAGACTCCCTCTCCATTCCAATGCATGTCCCCAAGTAGAAGCCCTACAAGGGTGATGACTGGCACAGAGCCAGGAAAAAAGAGAGTGCAGGTACAGATCAGAGTCAGGCCAGGAGTCCACGATGAGGCCTTTCCTGGTGACCCTGCAGACACCCTCGGAGGGAGGCAATCCCTGGACTCCAAGAATCGTGTGTATATATATATATATACACACACATATATATATATATATATATATTTTTTTTTTTTTTTGAGACAGAGTCTCACTCTGTTGCCCAGGCTAGAGTGCAATGGTGTGATCTCGGCTCACTGCAAACTCTGCCTCCTGAGTTCAAGCAATTCTCCTGCCTCAGCCTCCCAAGTAGCTGGGATTACAGGCGCCTGCCAGCACGCCCGGCTAATTTTTGTATTTTTAGTAGAGATGGTGTTTCACTATGTTGACCAGGCTGGTCTCAAGCTCCTGACCTCAGGTGATTCACCAGCCTCAGCCTCCCAAAGTGCTGGGATTACAGGCGTAAGACACCGTGCCCAGCCACGAGATCATATTCTAAGAATTGGGACGGAGAGGTGACCTTGGGCAAGTTGCTTCCCCTTCTGGAGCTTCTCAGGTCCTCCCTCTCCCCTACACAAGGGATGTGGGCCAGATTTTTTTTCCAGGATCCATAATTCATTACAGCAGGAGGAGGATCAGAGGTGGAGATTCAGAGTGCATAGGTTCTCAGAGGCAGAGGACTCACCTGAGCAGAGTGACATTGGCTGGGGAAACCTCGGTGACACCTGGGGGCAGAGCCCAGGACTGGGCTGGGCCAAGCCCCATCTGGCAGTAATAAGGATTGGGGGCTGTCCTGATGGCAGAGGTTCGAAGCTTGCTCAGCTCAAGCTCAGGGATCGGCAGCCTCATCCCCCACAGGCCCTGCCGCTTCTGCTTCACTGGAGGTGGGAAGAATAACGGCACAACCTCCACCTGCCCATCAGGTCACCCTTCCCCACCTGCCCTCACACCCCTCATTATGGTAACGTTTTCCCCGGGCCTCCCCAGCTGCTTCCTATCCTAGAATCCTAGAGGAGTGTACCACTGCTCTGCTGTGGTGAATGGTCTTGAAGTCAGCCCGGGACCCCTCAGAAGCCCATCCCAGCTCACTGGAGAGGAGCAGCCTTGAATCAACTGTGCCTGCTAGATGCTTCGTACCCAGAATCAGGAACCCACACACCATAAGGAGGCTCAGTGTCGAGGTTGCCACCACAGCCACCATCAGTACCAGAGGGCCTGGGTGGTTGCGCAGGTCTAGGGAGAGAGAGAGGCACCTCCAGTGAGTGGGGAGGTCCTCTCTGTTCCTTTACTCTCAAGTTTTACCCACACTTCAAGACTCAGCTCAAGTGTTATTTTTCCATGATGCCTTCCCCCATTATCCTGGGCCAAAGCAACCTCTCCCTCTTGAACACCCCTAAAGCACTTTATACCTCCCACAGCAATCGTCACTTGGGATACACATTTACATAGCTATATCTAAACATCCTCCCACACTGGACGACATGCCTCTGAAAGGCACTGTGTACCCACGAATCTCCAATCCCCTGCCCAGCACCCACCACAGTGCCTGGCACACAGCAAATCTCTATACCATCTTTCCCAGTGGCCTACTGCCCCTCTCAGTCTGTGACCCCAGGAGTCCAGACCTTGGGCAAAGGTAGGACATACCCACGCAGGTGATGTTATCCACAGCTAGCTCCATGCCCTCTGGGCACAGGCATTCAGCCAACTGGAGCTCTGCCTGCCATTGACAGTCTCTCAAAAGGCAGTGACTGCAGTTGAGGTGCCTTCGGATCTCTACCTCTCCGTGGCTCTCCGTGACTGTGAGTAAAAGAACTGATATGGTATGGTGTGGTGGGTGAGGGCTGGGGATGGAATATATTAAATACATGCTTTGGGCTGAGTGCAGTGGCACACACCTGTAATCCCTGCACTTTGGAAGGCCCAGGTGGGCGGATCACCTGAGGTCAGGAGTTTGAGGCCAGCCTGGCCAACCCCTTCTCTACTAAAAATACAAAAATTAGCCGGGTGTGGTAGCACATGCCTGTAATCTTAGCTACTCTGGAGAATCACTTGAACCTGGGAGGCTGAGTTTGCAGTGACCCGAGTTCGTACCACTGTACTGCAGCCTGGGTGACAGACTGAGACTATCTCAAAAATAAAGACATGCCTTTTTCAGACACATGGTCAATTCTAGCCCAGGACTTTAGAGCAGCACCAAGCTTACAAGGGTGGTGGGAGAAGCTGGGGGACTTCTGCCAAGCCTGCACACTCCAAGGTATTTGAAGAAAATTCACAGCAAAGGGATATTTGACAAGCATGCAGCATGCCCTGTGCTGGCATCCGACACAACTGACAGCCCCCTTTTCAGATGACCCTGTGACATGCAAGAATCCTGTGCTATGCAACATTATTCACAGTGCAGGTCGCTCTTCTGGGAGTGGGCTCAGGGATTGAGGAGGAAGGCTAGGCCAGGCCAGGCTGAATGGTGGGGTTGGAGCCAATACCTGCCAGAGGCTGCAGATAGAGCTCGCTGCTGGGGTGCATGAAGGATACTCCATCTTCCCCATCAGCCCAGAGGTTGTCAGTCTCTGAAGCATCACCCCCTGGAAGTAGAGAGTGATGGAGGGTTTGACTACAAATATGAGGGCTGGGGGAGAAGCTGGAATCTCCCACTGGAAATCCCAGTATGGCCTTCTCTTCCCCAGCATCATGATCCAAGTCCTGTCTTTTCACAAGTGGGAATGGAGGAGGTGAGGAGTGGGTAATCAGCTGGAGCCTGAAGACCTAGCTCAGGCTGGCAGGGACACCGCCTGCCTGCCTAAGCCCCTCATGTCCCATGTCCTCACAGTCCCTTTCTGTGAGGATGTGAATGATGTGTGTATATATGAACAGTACAGCCTGCACAGGTACACAGCCTCTGTTTCTTTTTCTTTTTTTTTTTTTTGAGACAGAGTTTTGCTCTTGTTACCCAGGCTGGAGTGCAAATGGCGAGATCTCGGCTCACTGCAACCTCCGCCTCCTCGGTTCAGGCAATTCTCCTGCCTCAGCCTCCAGAGTAGCTGGGATTACAGGCGTGCACCACCATGCCCAGCTAATTTTGTATTTTTAGTAGAGATGAGGTTTCTCCATGTTGATTAGGCTGGTCTCAAACTCCCGACCTCAGGTGATCCTCCTGCCTCAGCCTCCCAAAGTGCTGGGATTACAGGCTGAGCCCCCTCACCAAGCTGATAGATAATTTGCATTTTGAACAGCCTAGGCTGTGTGGATATTACCGGTTCCTGGACCACACTTTGAGAACCACTGACTTAACCCAGGCATGCCTTTCTGCCTCCCTGCTCAGCTTGCACACTTGGTCAGCTCTAAGTTCTGGGGACAGCTGCAGAACAAGGCAGGGACCTGCTGTGATGGGAAATACCTTGGACTGAATGGAAATCTAGGGAGTCCTGTCTGCATGCCGATTTGTGGTGTATTTTACCTTTTCTAAAAGCTCCTGCTTTGCCTGGAGCTGCTGAGCGGGTCTTAATGCCTTTCCCACTCCTATCCTCCTGAGGGCTGCAGCCTGTGCTGAGGTTCTAATCTCATGTCACCTTCGGGCCTGCTCAGCTGCCCTCTCCAACCGTATACGTACCCCGGTAGCCGCCGCCGCCTCCGCCCGCAGTGCAGGCCCCGCCGCCGCCCCCAAAGCCGCCGGCCGCGGCCCAGCCGAGCGTCGCCCAAGCCTCGGGGCAGCCCTGGCCGCCCTCCGCCCCCTCCTGCAGTGAGCCGCCGGCCTGCAGAGAGGGAGCCCGCGACGTCCAGCCGCCTCCTCCACCTGCAGAGCGACAGCAGGAAGGTTGGTAGCCACACGGAGAGCACTCCCGCCTCTCCCCGCGGGCCGCGTCCTCACCTGCTGCCCCGCCTCTCCCGCCACTCCCGGGCGCCTCCAAGCGGTTCTCCAGTTTCTCGGGGGCGGCCAGAGTCCGGCCTCCGTCCCGCGGCCTCAGGTAGGCCCGACCGCCACCTCCGGCAGCCACTAGCAGCGGTTCCAGCTCGCTGGCGCGCACCTGTGGGGCCAGCGGCGCGTTCCAGGACGCTTCCTCCTGCCGTCCAGGGGCACTGGCACTGGGCAAGGGCTCCCACCCTGGGGGTCCGGATAAAGGCAAGACCCCCCCGAAGCCCATCACAGGGTTAGAGGGACCCTAAGAGATGGACGTAGAGTGCGTGCGTGCCCGCCCCTGAGGAGAGGATAGGGACCCCAACGCTGAGCGCCGAAGGGAGCACGTACCCGAAAAACGTAGGTGGCGCCCCCGCCACCCCCGCCACCTCCTGCCCAGCGCCGCGACGCCAGGGCCCCTTCGCTCCCATCCCTCGCCGCGTGTTCTTCAACGGCTCGAGACTCCCCAAGGCAGACTAGCTGGCTCTCCGGGCTACCCTGCGGGCAGCGGGGGCGGAAATCGGCGGGGTCCGGGAGCCTCCCCTCGCTGTGCAGGTGACCCGGTACCGAGGAAGGCTCATCCCCCCCGGCCCCCAGGCAGCCTTCACCCCGCGGCGCCGGAGCCGCCCCATCCCCACTGGCTGCGCTCACTCCAGGACAGGCGTCCTCTCCCTGCTGCCCCACCAGGATGTACAGCGACTCTCCGAGACCGAGGGAGAAGATTGCTGAGACGAAGACCCCATGCGCCCGCGACAAGTGGTTCTTGGCGCCTTTGCCGCCCGCGGCTCCGTAGGCTGAGATCCTGCGGAGAGCGGGCGGTGAGACCCCAGCCCTCGGTGCTCAGGCCGGCCGCTACGGGCAGAAGGTGACGATAGAGAAGGCTCCAGAATTATTTTTTATCTGAGGAACTTGGAGGCTGCAATAGACTCTGACGGGATGGGAAAGCTGATTTTGCACACCGAAAAATTAAATATCACACTATTTCAGGAGGGTTCGTGGAGATGTGGGGAGGCTCAAGCACCCTTTGGCACCGCCCTGGTTGGGGGGCTTCCGCTTGGTGGAAGAGGTTCCAGGTACGGTCTAACACGGTGGCGATTACTGCCACCTTGAGGGGCACTCAAGGTCAGCCTGGGTGGACCTCTCTGGGCAATACCCCAAGACGCAAGGCGGTGCACACGTGGCCTTCATTCCCCTGACGGTGAAACCTCCGACTCCGAGGTCACTGCCCACCCTACCCCCGCCCCGCACTTACAGATACTGGCCGGGGCTCGGCACGCGCCACAGCTGCACGCCTCTCAGATGCCCGGCGGCCTCCACGGTCACCACCACGCTGGTCCCCGCGTACGCCCCGTCACATTGTGTCTGTGTGGGCCCATGCCTGCCACTGGCCCCGCAGGTATTAAACAGCCAAGACCTCTCGGTGCCTGGGAGCAAGGAGCGAGGCAAGGATCGTCGACCCCTGGCTGGGCCAGAGGGGTCTGGAATGGTGAGCGGAAGAGGAGGGAGACGCCTGGAGCTCACCCTGAGAATTCAGCTGGGAGGTTGGCTCCAAGCTACTAGGCCGGGCCCTGACTTTCGGGTCCAGGGGGCTAGGACTTGACAGCGGCAGGGGCGAGGATGGCAGAAAAGGCTCCTGGGACCCGGGGCTAGAGCAGAGAATGGCGCCTGAAAGGTGTTAGCAGAGGGCGCAGGATGTTAACGGGGGTGGAAATAGGATATAAAAGAAAGAACCCCGCAACAGCAGCCCTTGAGGACGCGGCCACACCCTTCACCCTGCCCAGCCTACAAGTCACCACCGGACTCCCGTCGCAGAAGCCCCGCGGGTGCTCGCTCATAGCTCTGCCAGTTTCTCTCCTCGAGCGCCCTTCCCAGTGAATGACTTGGGGGCCGCACAGAATTCGGTTCTGCAGTCTCCCCGTGCTTTCCTCGACTTAGATTGATGGCCCCGCCCCAAGGCGGTGCTGAGACCGCAAAGAATGTTCCTCCTTCCCAGGCTGCGTGATCCAGACTCTGGGATTCACACGCGCTTGGCGCTTCTCCGTCTGCACTTCAGAAGCACGGGCCCAAGAAATTTGGTTGTGAGAGTTCCAGAGCTCTGGAGGAACCACTGACACCTGGCCTGTTGCGACCGGCCACCCCCAAGCCTAGGAAGGTGCCTCTGGCTGAACCGTCCCCTGACCAACAGACAGCACTTACCCGCGGCTCCGAACCATACCAGCAGCAGGCCCCAGCGGCCCATCTCCGTTGGGTCCACCCCGCAACAGCCCTTGCGGTCGCGGCCACGCCCGTCAACCTGAAGTTGACAGCCCACTTTGCCACTGCGGCCCGGGCTGCAGCTTACAGGGGTGTAATGCGGCTGGCAAGACTTAACCCAGGACTTAAAGCCGGCCTGACCACGCCCACCTCAGACCCCAGGACGCCAGAGGAGGAAAGGGCGGGGCGTGTGGGCAGCGAGGTCCCTACGCTTCCGGGAGGAGCCTTAAGGAGTCCCCACCTAAGGCTCTAGTCTTCAGTCGTCACATCTGCCGCAGCCAGCCGGGAGCTGGGTAGGTTTGAGGCCGGAAAGGAGGTGCCCCACTCTCAAAGCGGGAGCCACGCCTCAGACACCAGGTGGGGCTTCCAGGTTCCTGAGGACAGGATCAGTGGAGGGTGCACTTCATTTGTGGTGGTGGTGGGTGTGTGGCACGCGTGACCACACATAGGATGTACTTTTTTTTTTTTTTGAGACAGAGTCTTGCTCTGTCACCCAGACTGGAGCGCAGTGGCACGATGTCGGCTCACTGCAACCTCTGCCTCCTGGGTTCAAGCGATTCTCCTGCCTCAACTTCCTGAGTAGCTTCCTGAGGCGCCCGCCACCACACTCAGCTAATTTATTTTCTCTATTTTTAGTAGAGATGGGGTTTCACCATGTTGGCCAGGCTGGTCTCGAACTCCTGACCTCGTGTTCTGCCGGCCTCCGCCTCCCAAAGTGCTGGGATTAGGGCGTGAGCCACCGCGCCCAGCTGGGAAGTACTCTTTAAACTGCCCCAAGTAAGGTCTCATTACTTGCCATTGCTTGTGGCTTTCAGTGCTGCCCTTGTGATTGCAAGGCTGAACCTCCCTGCTACCCCCCGAAACTTGGATCTCTGTGTTTGCCTTATGTAGTTTGGTTGCCTGTGTTAATCCTGTGCACAACTTCTCACTGTGATGGGATAAAAGACTGGATGAGATGTCAGAAGATCCGAGAGCTTTTAGTAGCACTGAAGGATGATAGATGATAGATACCTAGCTAGATAGCTGGATAGATCGACCTTGAGTACTAGTACTAGCATCTCTGGTCAGTGGGTGATGTAGCACAGGCCACAATTGCTCTGAGAGTTTCTCTACCACCTGAAAAATAATATGAAGGGAAATTGCTCTGTAAGCTACAAGTTACCCTACAAATGTGGGAGCCACTCCCTTCAGGTAGTTTTGTGTCTTGGGTCCTCAATCATTTGCTTAAAATCCTAACTTGAGGGCTGGCATCATGGCTCACACCTGTAATCCCAGCACTGTGGGAGGCCAAGGTGGGCAGATCATCTGAGGTCAGGAGTTGGAGACCAGCCTGACGAACCTGTCTCTACTAAAAATACAAAATAGCCGCACCTGGTGGTGCATGCCTGTAATCCCAGCTACTCTGGAGGCTGAGGCAGGAGAATCGCTTGAACCCAGGAGGCGGAGGTTGCAGTGAGCTGAAATCGCGCCATTGCACCCCAGCCTGGGCAATAAGAGCAAAACTCCATCTCCAAAAAAAAAAAAAAAAAAAAAAAAAAAATCTAACTTAAAAGTCTGAGACCTATGTTTATTATAAAACACTTCAAAAGCAAAGCTTTAGTAGTTAGCTACTTGGTAAAGTCTCAGTGTAATGCAAGGTGTGGCCACAACAGTGATTTTGTAAAAACTCTGGTCTCTAAGCCCTAGTTAACACTATCTACCACACTGAGGTCACAGAATTTCCCTTGCAGTCTCTAAGGCACTGCTCCTCAAATTGGTTGGTTCTGAACGCCAGTATCAGTATCACCTGGGAACTTGGTAGAACTGCAGATCCTTGGGTTTACTTCCGGTGGTTAGTAGGGCCTAGTAACCTGTTTTAAAATACCCTCCAGGTGATTTTTGTCATGTAAGTTTCAGAACCACTGGTATTCGCTGATACAGTAGTTGCTTAATAAAACATACTTGGTCTGGGCACCGTGGCTCACATAATCCCAGCACTTTGGGAGGCCGAGGTGGGCGGATCACCTGAGCTCAGGACTTCGAGACTACCCTAGGCAATATGGTGAAACCCCACCTCTACTAAAAATACAAAAAATTAGCTGAGCATGGTGACACACCTCTGTAGTCCCATCTACTCAAGAGGCTGAGGCATGAGAACTGCTTGAACCCGGGAGGTGGAGGCTGCAGTTACCCAAGACTGTGCCACTGCACTCCAGCTTGGGCTACAGAGTGAGACTATCTCCAAAAGAAACAGGCTAGGCATGGTGGCTCACGCCTGTAATCTCAGCACTTTGGAAGGCGAATCACAAGTTCAGGTGTTCAAGACCAGCCTGACCAACATGGTGAAAACCCATCTCTACTAAAAGTACAAAAATTAGCTGGGCATGATGGTACACCCCTATAATCCCAGCTGCTTGGAGGCTGAGGCAGGAGAATGGCTTGAACTTGGGAGGCGAAGGTTGTGGTGAGCTGAGATCGTGCCACTGTACTCCATCCTGGGCAACAGAGCAAGACTCCTCAAAAACAAAAACACTGTTGGATAATTCTGTGTTTAGCAGCTCCATTTATGAGGATTGTGTTCTCTATACCTACTGACAGGGCTAGGCTGTGGCACACTGCTCTCACTCTGATTACTTGCAAACACAGTAAGTCCACATAGCAAAGGACAGTCTAAGAAAGTCTAAGTTTTAGAATTCAGACAAAAGAACAATCTAGAAACTACCAAAATAAACCAGGTATAGTGGCTTATGCCTGTAATCTTAGCACTTTGGGAGTCTGAGGTGAGTGGACTGATTGAACTCAGGAATTCAAGACCAATCTGGGGAACATGGTGAAACCCCATTTCTACAAATGCACAAATTAGCCTGGCATGGTGGCACTTGCCTGTGGTCCCAGCTCCTCAGGAGGCTGAGGTGGAAGAATGGCTTGAGCCTAGGAGGTCGAGATGGCAATGAGCTATGGTCACACCACTGCAGTCTAGCCTGGGTGACAGACCAAGACCCTGTCTCAGACATAAATATATAAATAAATAAAGAGACATGGGGTCTCACTATGTTGCCCAGGCTAGAATTGAATTCCTGGAATCGTGATCATCCTGCCTCAGCCTCCCAAGTATTTGGCACTAGAGGTGTTTGCATTTGGCCCCACATTCTTGCTGTCTCTAGACATTTTTATCTCCCGCTTATGATTCTTCCCCATCTCTCTCAAAGCAGTGCTGCTCTCACCTGGGATAACCCACCCCCAGATACTAACCCTGAACTAACATGGGTGAAATTAATCCAAATCAGATTTCCAGGAGATAGAAAACATTTATTTTAATATACAACTATAGCATTCACATACCTCAGCCCAGGGTGGGGGTGGGGGTAGGTAAGTAGAGATGCATTTAGTTTGCCCTGTCCCCAAAGATGGGCTGAACAGCTAAGTCACTCTTCACTCCTAGCACAGACCTTCAGGAGCCCCAGATATCAGGATGTAATGGTAGGGCTCATTCTGTTCCAAAACAGTTCAAACAACCTGTTCCCAGGAAGGCAAGCCTTGTGGTCCTTGGTCTCCTGCCTACCGTTAGGACACAATGTCCTCTGTCTAGCTAGGCATCTGTTGAAAGGCTGGATACAGGACAATGTACTCATCTTTCCATCTATAGCAACTGTCCTAGGTCTCTGATACCCCATTTTGGAGCACCGTTGAAGTCAGTCTCTGGAGGTAGTGCTGACGCAGAGGGGGCAACTGAGGATAGAGCTCAAAGCCCTCTGGGAGCATGGAATTGGGAAGCTTATAGTGGAGGAGGTGCTGCCGGAGACCCTGCAGAGAGGAAAGAAACCTTATGAAGTGGGTAATGAAATCTTGTGGTCTTAGTCATGTAAGATCTAATAGCCCACCCTCCTAATGGCCCTAATCCTACCTCATCTGCCAGCAGCCATGTTTTCTGCAGCATACTCCTGCGGGCAGCCTTTACCTCATCCTAGAAGCAGAACAGGGAGACATGGCACTGAGCTGAGGGCTGGTACCCACCACTAGCCTTGTCTGGCCCTCACCTCTCCCCAAGGTGGCCCAGAGGGAGCTCAACTGCTAGCTCCCTTCCTTCCTCTGAAGATGGAGATGTAACTTACTGAGCTCTGTGGGTCCTGAGAGAAGATGAAGCTATTGATATGAGCCACAGCCACAGCATAGAGCACAGGGCACCAATGTGGTCGGAGCGCACCAGTAACCAGGGTCCTGAAGTAGAGCTGAAGGAGGGCCAGGTTGTCTTCAGGAGGTACCGTGTAGCACTCCAGGGACACAGGCAACTGTGACAGGTGAAATGATGTGCTGAGGGGAAGGGTAGGAATGTATATACATCTACGAGGTGCATGGATAATGATCACATGAAACCAAGTCATGAGGGCAGAGATCAGGTTATGAACAGATATTTGTCCTCTAGCACAAGGACCAGGGTTAAAGACTACAGAGCAGAAGTCAGGGAAAACTGGAAACTGAGAAGCAGCCATAAAAAAGAATGAAATTGGCCAGGTGCGGTGGCTCATGCCTGTAATCCCAGCACTTTGGGAGGCCGAGGTTGGCAGATCACGAGGTCAAGAGAGCGAGACCATCCTGGCCAACATGATGAAACTCCATCTCTTTTACAAAATTTACAAAAATGTTTGTAAAAATATAAAAATTGGAGAGGGGGGAATACAAAAATTAGCTGGGTGTTGTGGTGCACACCTGTAGTCCCAACTACTTGGGTGGCTGAGGCAAGAAGAGGCTGAGGCAAGATCGCTTGAACCTGGGAAGCAGATCTTGCAGTAAGCCGAGATCTTGCCACTGCAACCCAGCCTGGCAACAGACTGAGACTCTGTCTCAAAAAAAAAAGAATGCCATTGGCAAGGTGTGGTGGACCACACCTATAATCCCAGCACTTTGGGAGGATGAGGCAGGTGCATCACGAGGTTAGGAGTTCAAGACCAGCCTCACCAACATGGTGAAACCTCATCTCTACTAAAAATACAAAAATTAGCCGGGCATGGTTGCAGGTCCCTGTAGTCAGGAGGCTGAGAGGCAGGACAATCGCTTGAACCCAGGAGGCAAAGGTTGCAGTGAGCCCAGATCATGCCACTGCACTCCAGCTTGGCTAACAGAGGGAGACTTTGTCATAAAATCCTAGGCGAATTAATGTAGGAGCAGAAAACCAAATACATGTTCTCACTTATAAGTGGGAGCTAAACACTGGGTACTTATGAGGAGAAAGATGGAAGCAACAGATACTAGGGACTACGAGCTGATGAAGGCAGGGGTGGGGAAAGGGTTGAAAAGCTATTGGATACTATGCTCACTACCTGGGTGATGAAATCGTTTTCCTCACACAATATACCCATGTAACAAACCTGTACGTGTCCCCAAT